TAGTGACGCTGTACCTGTGCGTACTGCATGGTGTAGTGATGCTGTACCTGTGCGTACTGCATGGTGTAGTGCCGCTGTACCTGTGCGTACTGCATGGTGTAGTGACGCTGTACCTGTGCGTACTGCATGGTGTAGTGATGCTGTACCTGTGCGTACTGCATGGTGTAGTGCCGCTGTACCTGTGCGTACTGCATGGTGTAGTGACGCTGTACCTGTGCGTACTGCATGGTGTAGTGATGCTGTACCTGTGCGTACTGCATGGTGTAGTGCCGCTGTACCTGTGCGTACTGCATGGTGTAGTGACGCTGTACCTGTGCGTACTGCATGGTGTAGTGATGCTGTACCTGTGCGTACTGCATGGTGTAGTGCCGCTGTACCTGTGCGTACTGCATGGTGTAGTGACGCTGTACCTGTGCGTACTGCATGGTGTAGTGATGCTGTACCTGTGCGTACTGCATGGTGTAGTGCCGCTGTACCTGTGCGTACTGCATGGTGTAGTGACGCTGTACCTGTGCGTACTGCATGGTGTAGTGATGCTGTACCTGTGCGTACTGCATGGTGTAGTGCCGCTGTACCTGTGCGTACTGCATGGTGTAGTGACGCTGTACCTGTGCGTACTGCATGGTGTAGTGATGCTGTACCTGTGCGTACTGCATGGTGTAGTGCCGCTGTACCTGTGCGTACTGCATGGTGTAGTGACGCTGTACCTGTGCGTACTGCATGGTGTAGTGATGCTGTACCTGTGCGTACTGCATGGTGTAGTGCCGCTGTACCTGTGCGTACTGCATGGTGTAGTGACGCTGTACCTGTGCGTACTGCATGGTGTAGTGATGCTGTACCTGTGCGTACTGCATGGTGTAGTGCCGCTGTACCTGTGCGTACTGCATGGTGTAGTGACGCTGTACCTGTGCGTACTGCATGGTGTAGTGACGCTGTACCTGTGCGTACTGCATGGTGTAGTGACGCTGTACCTGTGCGTACTGCATGGTGTAGTGATGCCTGGTGGCGCGGTCCGCGTGTGCGTAGCTGCGTAGTGCGGCTCGCTTCATGTGCATCTTGCACAGCGCAGACACCAGCAGCACCACCGCTATCATGAAGATCAGGGCGCACGCTGCGGGAACATTTCAGATGATAAGCCAATAATTATCTTATAAACCACGTTTGAAACTTAAACAACCGACTTCAACATTCAACAACCGAAGTCATTGCGCACAAACATACATACAGGTCAAATTAAGAACCTCCTTTTTTTAAAAGTCGGTTATAAATTCTTGGGAGCGCACGAGAAAAAATCGGTAGACCGTACGAAATAGTTGATTATGAAACGTTTTGCAAATAAATTACCACTAAAGAATTTAAAAGCAATTTAAGTTAACTTAATGTCACTAAAAACTTATTTCTGAAAGTATTCCTAATGACAAAAATATGATGCTTGACTAGTTTCGAGCCAAATCGGAGCTCGCAATCATGAGTTGCATAGATATACGATAAATAGTTACGAAACTACATAACTAAACATAATTAAAAGATTCAAATAGAGTTTGGCGGTTTTCACCAACCAAACCTAAACATATTTATAAGGATTTTATCCCATTAAAAAAAGAGTTACTTAGCGTAAAAGAACACCTAAACTAACCCCTTACCTGTACATCTAAATGTCATTTATATTTTAGTGAAAACCAAAATGTCGCAAATGACATTTAGAGATAAGATGTTTCTTAAAATGATAGTAAATTTCAGCTCAGTCTAATTATATATGTGTGGGTAAGTACCGGTGACGGTGTAGATGGTGGACTGTATGAACCCGTAGTCGTCGCCGGCGTGGCGGTCCTCGAACAGGGGCGGGTACTCCACGTCCACGTAGCCTGCGGCAACACAATACGACATACATAGTACAATACGGCAATAGACTCACGTCAGAGTACAATACATTTGTACACCACCCTTACTCTTCCCGCGGGTATCATATACCCGACTAAGGGACTCCACATTAGACAGAGACCGTGCAGCAGCGCTCTCTGATAAACCTGAACCTTTTATACTGCGATCTCCAACCCGCCGCCTGCGGAGATTATGACAAAGCAATCCATCTTCCATTACAGCTTGGCAAAAAAGAGTTTGGCATAATAGAGGTCGCTAGTATCGCACCTGCGGCAGTCTGGACACTACGACTCAATACAACTTCGATTCCCGGGCCAAGCAAAGTACTGCTGTTTTTAAAAAAAAATCTCAGTAGTAGCACTGAGTCTGGAATTGTGCCCGGTATATAATAGGCAATAGGCTCACCCCCTATTACATGGAACTCATAACATAAATAATGAAAAGTGGGTGTTACATTGTACAGTGGCATTAAGTGCCGTAATGTGCACCTGTGCCTTCGGGGCTATAAGGCGTGATGTGACGTAATGTAAGAATGGCGCAGAGACCTTCGAGGCGCGAGTACCGCGGGTGCTCGTCGCAGCACGCGGGCTGCGGACACAGCGCGCCCGCCGCCGCGCGGCAGCACGCGCCCGCGGAGATACAACGACCCGACGAACAGTTCAACTTGTCGCTGCCTGCACACACACACAATGGGAATATATACATTACAGAGAGAGGTATTTTATTTTATGACATAAGCCGGTAAACGAGCAGACGGATCACCTGAAACACCAGCGGCGTTACAAGTGTGTTACCGGCCTTTTGGGATTAGGAACTTGACGATTGTTAAGGATTTAGAGGTTGGGGAAGGGGGAGGGGGGTAATTGGGGCTCCGTAAGCCTCACCGTGAATGAGCGCAACAAATAATTTGCGGGAAATCATTCTTAGTCTACACTCGCTCGCGGCGTAAATTCGCGCGATGCTGAGACACCCAGTTTTTGCGATCGGACAAATACGGTATACTCATCGCTTACTCGTTCAATCGCGTTGTATTAGGACAACGCTTAAGGTGTTGAGATTTAGCAGCGTTAACGTTTCAAAAATAAGGTCTAAAATAATTTATGAGAAACTTCACGATTCGCTACTCACAATAGTATATATAACAGTATACTTACGCGCACATCCCAGCGGTGGACACATATGAACGGCCTCGTCCTCGGCGCGCTCGCAGTCTCTGCGGCCGTCGCATACATACTGCGCCGCTATACACCGCGACCCGCAACCGAACGCGCCGCGACGGCAGAATTGGGGAGCTGTGTATCATGTATATTGGAGTGGACCTAGGATACTACCTTGCGGCACTCCTAGTAAACGCCTTACCAATACTTAAGAATGGTCCCAAGATGCTACCCTGAGGCACTCCTAACAGTAGCCAACATCACCGTAATGGGGTCTGTCGTATTTTTTGTAACCAGATGGCTCAAATGTAGCAAGACGTTTATGTCCAATCACTTTAGCTATCAAATATTAAACGTCCAATGGCGTGACACTAGCTAATTCCCTATAGGACGAAGAACAAGAGACGCACACTAGCGCCATCTGGTGAGTAAAAATATAGCAGCCCTCATTACTAATCAAAACAAAATTTAAGAGTAAGCAAACTCTTTAAGGCTCATTGTCCACGTCAAACCTAATTAGGAAATTAACTGGACCTAAAATATTACCTTGTGGCATTCTTCCTATCAGTGACAAACATTTTTAAGAACCAGGCAACAATAAATAAGATTAAATTGAATCTAAGGAGATAAATTAATTGCAATTGCATTTACTATGCATCTACTCTGTCGCCAGTACACTCCAGAAGACCAGAAGTAGACAGAAGTGTAAAGAAGTACTACTAAACGCTTACCCTTAGTCTGAACAACTAAATACTTGGTGACGCTGAATGGCGGAGCCGAGCACATATACTGGCCGCTGTCTGACTCCTGCAGGTCGAACCTGGTTAATGTACTGTTCACCGCTGGACCTTTGGGATCACCTTTCAAGATCCTGGAATTAAAGGGATTTCATTCAGTTTTCAACAGTTTTTCTAATACACATCAACAGCCTATAAGTGGCCACTGCTGGCCAAACTTATAAGTGCGTTACCGGCTTTTTGAGGATTAGGAATTTGAGGATTGTTGGGGATTAGAGGATTCGGGAGATTGGGGAGGGGGGTAATTGGGCCTCCGGTAATCTCAGTCATATGACGAAACACAACTCAAGCGTTGGTTTACGTTAATTTTTCTGTTCGTCTGTGTTGTCACTTCGGTCGAGCCGGTCATTCGTGCCGAAGCATGGCTCTCCCACACTTCACTACGTCCTGCGTAAGTAATAGCTAGAAGCCAATGCGGAGCGGTGCGCAAACAACAGACTGTCGACACATATTGAATTCTTCGCGGCGCGAAATGACGCGAACGCGATATTTTCGCGTGAACTGTCGTATTTGGATGCGGTGCTTGTTATGTAGAAACATTTTTGCTTGTTATGTTTGGTTATAATGACGGATACAAAAATGAAGCGAAACGATTCGCGTGCACGTAGGACATCGACGTCGCGTCGCACCGCATCGCATAGAATTCACGTGTCACCGCCTCATAATCACGTTCGCTTCTAGATCGCTCACGCAGGACGTAGCTCTAAAGTCATGTCGTAGAATGTTTGTTTTTCCACAATTGATAGAAGACTTTGTTGACGCTATCAGACCAAAACCATTAATTACCTGCTTAGACTAATAACAAGTGGTCGTGTACTCACAGGTCGCCACTAGTGGAGTTATCGTTCATGTAGTTCCACACGTATATCCGCGGCGTGGCGCTAGCATCGCCTCGCAGTTCACACACTAGTGTGACGTTCTCGTGCACGCGGCGAACTACTACGTCTGTGTACTCTGGCTCGCCGGGCGAGTAGAGAGCTAGCCAGGGGCCGGGGAGGTCGCCTGAACCTGGAAAAGAAAGATATACTTATATGAAGATTTTATTCAGGATAGCAAGTTTTAAATATTATTGCCAAAAAATAGGGTTGTAACTTGTAAATGTATTAAATAATTTTGACAGTAGTTTGATCATGGACACAATTTCCCGAACGGTGGTAGTCACAATATAGCGTACAAATGCAGTACCTAATTATACTACTCTTCGCTAGGGGGTGACCCTATTCCCATAGCTTCCAGGCATAATTTCATACGGTTATTACCGAAAAAAACTTCAGTAGCATTTTGGTCAACCCGGAAATCGACCTCTTTCTTCAAGAAACCGACTACAACCTCCTTTTATTGGTTAATAATTATTATATTAAAACCTCCTCCTGAGTGTTCACTTCTGAAAACCGCATTACAATCGGTTCAGCCAACCGTGAGATAATCGTACACGCACAGAAACTTCTTCATTTTTTAAGTTAAATAGAGAAGGAGACAGTTGAAACTTCAAGTATTCTCAGTTACCGTACAACATCACCTAATCCTAACATACTGTAGCCACCAGACCATCACAAAAGGGGCCCAATAGGCCTAATGCCGATACGGAGCCGCGAAGAACTTAACGGGTTGCCGAGGATTCGGCTCGAAGTGCAGGAGTAGGAACGGGGTGGTTTTTAGTCAGTAAGAGTCTGACACTCCCTCCCGCCTCACCCGGGCGAAAGAAATCATCGGTTGATTTTCTCTCTCAAATAAAAAACTGCGTTTAAAAAAACCAAAGAAGGAAAAAAATAACTATGATTGGTCATACGTATGTACTTATAGCTTACACACCCACTGATAGGTTAGAAGGCGTCTGATTTCCTTATCATGGGAGCATTCTGGGACTATCTCCTTTCCAACAAAAAAATAATTATCAAATCGGTTCATAAATAACGGAGATATCGAATTCTCCTTTTTTTGAAGTCAGTTAAAAAAAAGCCAACATACTGACACAACTATGTACTATGCGTTACTCATACCACTTAACACATAACTATGTAATTATGTATGTATGAATGTACATTGTACACCTGCGCTGGCTAATACTACACAATTATCAAGTTATGCATATCCAGTATTAGCTTGCTAAACGATAAACTTGACTGCACGTTTGACGCGGTGGTGACAACCGGCTGCTGAGCAACGTGTCGTGATTTGGATTCCACCACGGAGCAACTCTTTGTGTGATCCACCGATTGTTGTTCCGTGTCTGTGTGTGTGTGATGTGTATGTGAACTTGTATGTTTGTAAACGCACACACGACGCAAGAGAAAATCCTAGTGTTAAAAAAACTGACTGTTGAATATACTGAAGAATCATACAATGCAGGATCAAGATAAACAGGTTTATTAACTAAGATCGTGGGTTACTCACGTGAATATATTGAGAAAAGCTCTACTAGTTTCGAACCACAGAGGGGTTCTTCCTCATCAGTGAGCTGCGCGACGTCGCCGCGACCGCGCACGCTGTTCATGAGAAAGAACCCCTCTATGGTTCGAAACTAGTAGAGCTTTTCTCCGTATATAGGTACACGTGAGTAACCCGCGACTTCAGTTAATGTAGTATGTCTCACGATAGTTATTATAAAAACATAAACAGGTTTTGTATAACTATGTATACACCTGGGACGGTAGTACAATCTGCTTCACCTCAAGCAATGCATAACCAGTACAAATTGATCGTCAAATATCCTGAAGTATCGTACAAAGCGGGACCAAGACATGCTGGTTTTATACAACTCAATCATGAACCAGTACAAACTGACCTTTGAATGTACTGAAGAATCATACGAAGCGGGACCAAGATTAACTGGTTTGTTTCACTTGATCTGTTGTGTGTACATTAAGTATTTAATTGATGTTTTCTGTGTGACTCAGCTTTATCTTGCATATTATTATTGTTCCTTATAATAGTATAAAGTAATAGAGAAGCGAACTCAACGAGAACTCCACGAAAGAATGTAACCTAAAATTGTATTGTGAATATGATTGAAAAAGAGTAACCTATGGAGTTTCTTGCTCGTTCTTCTCCATTGGAATCTACACTTTGGAACGAGCAAATAGCTTCATTTCTAGTCCTCTAGTCTAGACTGAATTTTTTTTCTTATTATTTAATATAGGTATATCTAATATTTTGTTTTGACGTTCAAAAGTGCCTTCCTGGTCTAATTGAAATAAATGATTTTGACTTTTTCTTTGTAGCTGAAATGTAATCTCTTGGAGATCGCAGTATAAAAGGTTCAGTTTATCAGAGATCGCTGCTGTCCAGTCTCTGTCTAATGTGTAGTCTTTTTCAGCTACAATTAATACATACATTAATACTTTACGCCTGTCTCCCATGCCAATCCCAGGCAGAGACTATGGAACGCCAATCTATCTATCCCAATCTACATATCGCGGAGAGCCTAACGGGTAACCGGGGCTCCGGCTCGACGTGCAGGAGAAGGAACGGGGTGGTTTTTAGTCAGTAAGAGTCTGACACTCCCTCCCGCCTCACCCAGGCGGGAGTAGGCATTCGATGATTATCGCCCCTTAATAAAAAAATCCCAATCTACATATCTACGATTCCTACATACTTCTTTCGATTCATCAACAGTCATCAATCTTTTCATGCATACTAGTCAGTTAAGGGTACTTTTAATTTGGCCCTACTTTAATAAATAATCTGTAACCTAAAATTAATAATCGGTTTTAATCCAAGTCCAAGATATTTGAATCAAAATCGATTCTGTCAAAAACCGAGAGTGATCCAGACGGTTTGAAAGATCGTTTATTAAATTCGGCCATTAGTCGGGTATACGACACCAGCGAAAAGAACAGCGGCATTGACATAACAAATCTACTCTAAATTGTACTCTGCTATCAATACGCGGCTCTATTTCCTACAAATTACGTGATTCTATGATATTTCTGAAAATATTTTTAATATAACTTATTACCTCTATAAAGATATCCGTTGGCATTACTGTATCGACAAAACGTGTTACACGTGCGACGAATTTGATTAGCAACCATTTATAACATAAAAACATCTGTTTGTTTGTTTGAACACAGTATGCTCGAAAACTAATGAACACGTTTTAACGCACTTTTTAACATTGGATAGACAGATATATTCTTAAACTAGTTCCTGTCAACGGCGTTGCGCGCATTTCTGTGGGATAAAAAGTAGCCTATGTGTTATTCCAGACTGTAACCTACCCCTGTTCCAAATTCCATCTCGATCACTTCAGCCGTTTTGACATGACGAACGTACAAACTTTCGCATTCATAATATTATAACTTATCTACGAAGGTAAAAATTTATATAGGTAAGGTATTTTTCAAAGTTAAACAAACATGACATAACATCACGCCTTTTAACCCCGAAGGGGTAGGCAGAGGTGCATATTATGCCACTGTACAATGTAACACCCACTTTTCACTATTTATGTCATGAATCTCATGTAATAGGGGGTTTGCCTATTGCAATATACCATGCACAGTTAAACAAAATATTAAATAAAAATGTCGGTTTGTCTGTCAGACTTCACGTGAAGCTATTAACTCATTCCAAGGTGTTCCTATATAGAAGAACGAGCAAGAAACTCCATAGGTTACTTGTTTTCAATCAGTTTCAGTGCTGAAAACTCATTTGTATTTAAGCAACAGGACTATAACATTTATATTAAGATTTTTATTTTTTTATTTTAGTAAGTTATTAGTATAATGCGTCAAGCGTGTCTTTGCATTGTTCTTACATATGCGTACAGTATTGAAATATGTATCAGAGACATTGTAGAACATACTTTTTTAAAAGAGTAACGAATGGAGTTTCTTGCTCGTTCTTCTCCATTCGAATCTACGTTTTGGAATGAGCACCTAGCTTCACCTAGCTTCACTGACGGACTGACTGACAGACTATTATTTATTTTGTATTTGTTGACGTTTCAAAAGTACCAAACTATGGTTTAATTGAAATAAATGATTTGACTTTGACTTTGACTTATACTGTACCGAGCTTGCTCTATCATTGTAGAGATTAAAGTGTCAATAGATATTAGAGACAAAAAATTATGAGAAAAACGAAGCTGGTAATGATGCACTATCATCAGATAACGTCAGCAATAAAATAATTAACATTTTTTTTATTTAAATACCTATCATAATATTTAATGGTACTTAATTACTTTAAAGTAATAAAACATTTAATGTCTCCATAAAATGTGTCAGTAAATGGTAAACAATTATTATGAAATAATTTTTCCATAATAATTATAATACTACCGATAGTCGTGTTGGCTAATGGATTAATCCGTAAAAACCTTGGCTTTGATGGATCAAAGGTCTGATACAGAAGGCAGTTCTCCTAGAAACGGCATGTATCGTGAAGAGGTTTCTGTCTCTATAGCCCTAACCAACGGTAGCTTGGACCATGCTCCCGCTACTGGTCGGCTCCTATATTTTATATTTTTAAATATTTATATTTTTATTTATTAAGTAGTATTTAAGAATGTAATTTTAGAGGATTTTAAATATATGGAAATAATAGTACTAGCTACATACGCGCAATTTATTTATTCTATTGATTGTAGTGTGATGTTTTATAGCTCCCCCCCCTTCCTCGATATAGGACTATCCAGCACAAAAAGAGTTATTCAATTCGGACCAATAGTTTCTGAGATGAGTATATGATTTATGACTTTAAAGCAATCCATACATATATATGTATGTAATATATAATATAATTCAGCGACTGTCAATTCGGAAGATGGAAGTGAGCTCAATTGTGGCCCTCCATATCATCTGTTGTTATTGTGAGAATAATATCAATTCTGACAAGTGAAAATCGATGCAGATGAAGTTACAATAGCCTAGCACAACCCCATTTACGATGTTATTGTCTGTTCATTTCTCTCCGAGTCAACTTGCAATCTCATGGTTTACAAAAATATTAGTATTTTTTTATTTTAAGAAACATTGCCACTGGGATTTTCTCACGTATCGTGGGGACATACCAGTTGCCCAACCACCGAACCAACCGTGCAGTCGATTAATAGTTATTTTTATAATTTGAAACTATTTGCAATTGGACAGTTTCTCCAATAAGACAAAATCTCATTAATTTTTGTTGCACTTAACATAATCATCGTCAACAGTTCTTGGCAGTCCACTGCTGTACTATGGGCCATCTTCCTCAATAGAGGAAGTGGGGATGAGTTTAAAAGGTTCAGCTCTATCGGAGAGTGCTGTTGCCTGGTCTCCATTAATTAGTTAATGCCACTGTACAATGTAACACCCACTTTTCACTATTTATGTTATGAGTCTCAAGTAATATGGGGTGAATCTATTGTCATAATTATACCAGGCATAATTCCAGACTCCGAGCTGCAACTGAGATTTAAAATCACCTAATAACACTTTGCTCAACCATTGAATCAAACCCAAGTCCATTTGCCCAGCAGTTGCACTACCAACCAGGCAGTTCTACAGAGCCAAGTCAAGTTACATGGGCAACTAATGGCATAACAAGTTGAAACGTGATTCTGTCATTCAGTAGATTATGTACTCTTATCTATTTAGGCTTTAGCTGTTCAAGCACGTCAGCTGTTGATAAATAAGTGCTTAAATATGATTCATACGAAATCTTGATTCGTATGAAAAAAATTTAATAAATCATTTCGACTAGTTAATAATATATATGCGAAAGTTGGTTTGTTTGCCTGTTTGAGCTTTTATCTACTCAAACAATCTTCTTAAAGTTTTGCATACATAATATAGTAAATATGGAGAAGGACATGGCTAATTCCCGTAAGCAAAGCCGCCGGTAAAAGCTTGATATTTATATTGTAATCTGCAACATTCTTTGCCAGAGAAAACTTCGAGATTGAATGTTTTTGATTGTTTATATAAAAAACCAGTTTGTGTAGCGTCATAACACAAGTATGAGGAGCTAACTATAAACAAAACAAAAAGGATAGTGGAGCAAAAGAGAAAGGATCTCCATCTAACAACGTTACATAGTTACCGTTACCCAAAATTAGATGACAAAAATTCGGAAAATGCGATTTTTACGCGAAACAACATCATTTTTCCTGATGCATCCTGAGATACACAAGCCGCGATTAGCCACGAACCTTGTCCTTAATTGATAACTAAAGCTAGCAACCATGGTCAAAACACTTTTCAAGGCTAAAAAACCTGTATTGAATCAAAAAAATTATTTCGGCATGCCAAATTTTTTACGAAAACTTCAAATTCTCATTCGAGTAATAGCACTTACAGAACTACTACTTACATGTTTTTGTACTAAACAGAAGTGGAATAATACACGATAACAAACAATTGGACAACGAAAACATTTTTATTTACTTTTTAAACATTTTCAACTATTGACATTCAACACATTACGCCATTTTTGTTTCTTTAGGTATTTACGTTTCGATTGACGTAGGGTGTTTTATGAGTTGGAAAAGTTTATCAATCATAATAATTATTATATAAAAGATGATTGGCACTGAATAAATGAGATACAATTCAAGATTTCGAGTAAGTCAAGACAATTGGTATATTATATTTTTATTCATACCATGATATTATTTTCCTTACAAGGAACTCTACTCTAATATTTTTTGTGCGTCGAACGGAAAGCGACAATTCAATAGTCAGTCCGTTTTAGGCTTTGAATACGAATATGTATTTTATCACGAGATTATTTTATTAAAGTTAATGCATTCATTTTTTCCTCGTTCTACATCTAAATTCTATTTGATTCTGTTTTATGAAAACAAAAAATTGGAAACTAATTCTTTCATACTACCTATTCTAATCAATGTCTTGCCATGAATGCAAAACGGAACGTACTTCCCATGTCATACTATTTTCACAGACATTGACATTTATAATGAAATTATGTCGAATCGATTTTTAGAATGTTGTGGCTGTTTGAAAGGGTTAGCGACATACAAAGCTCCTTTGCTAGACAAGGATAGAATAAAGATTATGTTGACATTCAACGATATTTTTGTGATTCATATTCACAAGATTTCATTCAGCATCAGCAGATATTTTGTTTGATAGTTTACGGAAACTAGAAAGTGTTTCTAAATACATTGTTATTTCTAAAACAAAATGGATTTAGCTCGACTACCTAACGACAAGAAACTGCAACTGTGCCGATGGTATTTCAAAGGTATCGTAGCTACAAAAATATTAGTGTTTCTGTTCTTATTTACAGTTTTACATGATATGCCAAATAATTATCATGTTATAGTAAAACAACGTCTCTTTTTTAAATTAACAGATCCATTTTTCGTATCTACGACTTAGAGCGGTTATAATAAATATCCTATGAGAACAGACATGGTTACTTGATTTTATTGACTACCTAACTAGAGATTGTGTCGCACTATCCTTGATGAGAATTAATCCGGACACTAGAACTAAAGAACAACTTCAATATTGTGACTTTGAGTGTGCAGTCACTATTGGATTTGTGGCGACACTAATGTGTTGACATTTTTTATGTGTTTTCAAGTACATAGCTGCCCCTGCGACCCTATAGCGTTAGCACGCCAGTCGTCTCCCAGCTTTTGTGTTTACCAGTAATATTTTGTAGTTTTAAATTAGTTGTGAATTGTGTATTTTCTAAGACAATATAGACCCAAAGTTTTACCTATTTTATTTTGGACTATCTATCTTTGAACACATGAACTATACTAGAGTCAAGTGGAATTTAAATAAGAATATGCACTATAAATAGTCCTCCTTACCGATTTCGGTAACGGCAACCCTTACTAGTTATCTCCTGTCGTGTGCCCTAATGTGACTGGCCAGACTGAATTTAGTTTTGAAAATCCGATCACAACTAGAGCAGTAAAGGTGGCTGGCAGTGTTGTACATGTAAGTATAGGAAGGTTTAGGTCTGTCTTTAGTCACGCATTTTAAATACCTTAAAAGCATCATTAGGCATGATAATACCTTGGCTGCGGATATACCATTGCATATTGCAAATGCTGATATTATAAGAATACACACTACATCGATACTAAAAATTGTTTGACACCTAATAGACCTTTTCTATCTTTGATTTATCATTCATTAACAAGTCTTGCTACTCTATCTCCAACAAATTTCGTGCCTGCTGAGACAAAAATAATGATGTGAGTTAATGTATAACATGTTAATTATAATTCTTTTGTTTATTTTCCCAGTGGGCTGCTTACTGCTGCCATTTGTGTGGGCAGTCAACGCCATCTGGTTCTTCAAGGAGGCATTCATGAAACCGCCGTATGATGAACAGAAGCAAATTAAAAAATGTAAGTACTTACATACATACATAACTTCACGCCCATGTCCCATGGGGGTAGGCAGAGACTATGGAACGCACATTACTATGATTCCTACATACCTCTTTCGCTTCGTCAACAGTCATCAATCTTTTCATCTATGCTCGCCGGTTAAACAGTCAAACACCGAGAGGTCACCGGTGACCGCAACCTATTGTTCTTTGATTGTGTCTATAATGACGGTACTCAACGAGTGAATCTGGTCATGTATCCGTCTAGGGCGCCCTCTACCGGCGGCCCAGTTCATATCCTCTGTACTGACTTAGCTACAATTATATGCTTCTCTTATCAACAAACTGGAATGATCAGTTGGCGGTTAAGAAAAGAGCGTAGGTATTCCTTTTTAAAAGGCCGCCAACGCACCTGTCACTCCTCTGGTGTTGCGGGTGTCTATGGGTAGCGCTAATCGCTTACCATCAGGTGATCCATCTGTTCTTCCTCCTATTCCATTAAAAAAACTATCGACGAGTGACCAAACACTGGACTCTAAAAAAGAATTGCAATGGTTTTTTTATGGGATAAGCCAGTAAACGAGCCTACAGATCACCTGATTTGGCGGTAAGCTAACGGGGCCACCCATGGACACCTGAAACAAACACCGGAGGCGTTACAAGTGCGTTACCGGCCTTTTTGGGATATGGGATTGTGGGGAATTCGGGGATTGGGGAGACTGGGGAGGAGATGTACATTTATTTATGGCTCTGCCAATTAGACTGTGTTTTTTTTTCAAGTATATTTTATTCTCATTATTTTCATGTTCTAAAATAGCAAGACTCATTTGCCCTCATTTTTCATAAAAAAAAAATTTCTATCACACTTTAATAGATCGGCAGAAGTATACGAACCAAATAGTCGTGGTGGCTCGGAGGTTTAAGATGCCCGCTTCTCATGCATGAGAGTGCGGGTTCGAAACCTACCAACGCCAAGTACCAATGTGACTTTTTCCGAGTTATATGTACTTTCTAAGATTATTTAGCAGTTCTGTCACGGCATTCGTGTAGATCGCGCGCGCACAGTTATCGATTACGGTGTACAGAATTTATAATTTATTCATTTAATTTTACGCGTGTATTTATGATGCAGAATTGGATTTAATAATGGCCACAAACGATCAAGGCCAAGAAAATACCATTCTGGATCAGTCTGATACTAGCGAGGCGAGTCAGTCAGATAGATGGACGTCACAAATGATAGCGGAATGTGGAGAAGACAAGGTGGATAATCCAGATGTACCAAACTACTCTGAGGTACAAGTCATGGACGAAGACATATTAAATAAACCGATAAAAAGAGGAAGAGAAGAAGACGATATAGGTTGGACTAAAGTTGAAAGTAAAGGCAAGAAATTGAAACAAATTAAAAAAGAGGTTATAATTTGGAGCAGGGAAAAATTACCGAAGCAGTTTGCTATAGCAAAACTATTTAACAGTTTGGGTATAACGGATATTAACCGCATTAAATATGTTAACCCATATAAGTTAAAAATAGAGGTTTCGACTGAAGAGTGTGAAAACAAACTACTGGATTGTCAGGAGTTCAAAGAAAAAGAATGGAAAGTTTATAGTGCAATGGACGTCAATGTTTCCTACGGCATTATCCGAAATGTGGACCTCGACCTATCTGACGAGGAGGCGCTCAATGCTATTAGATGTCCAAATGATATTCAAATAATATCATTAAAAAGACTTAAGCGTCGAGATGAAGAAAATAAGTTCATACCTAGTGAAGTAGTGCAGGTGGCTTTTAGCGGCTCATACTTACCTACCTATGTTTATGTGGACTGTCTGCGTGTTAAAGTGGAACCTTTTGTATTCCCAGTAACACAGTGTTCAAATTGTTGGAAATATGGTCACAGCAAGACCAGATGCACATCTAGAACGATCATATGTCCTAAGTGCACGGGAGAACACGGTAACTGTGAAGTATCAACATACAAATGCGTGAATTGTCGGGGTGACCACATGGCGTTAAATAGAAAATGTCCAGTATATAACAAGGAAAAACGGTTGAGGGAGCTTATGGCAGAATACAACTGCACATATCACGTAGCCTGTACTATGTATGTTCGACCCCAGTCAGATATAGGACTACAAACAATGAAGGAAAAGCCGAAGGTAAATACAAACAACAGTTTCAGTGGTTTACAATCGGAAGAATTAGGAAATAACAGTAAATATACTCCGAGTAAATCAGAATTCCCAGTACTGTTTACGCAAAACCGACCTACATCACCACATAAGTACATACAATTACAAAGCTCAGGTAAATCGCCGTGGCGAGAACGTCAAAAGTCACCGGACCGCATTCCAGAGCAACCATCTACTGATAACGATGAAGTCGGGGACAATGTAAACAACAATCGACAGATACATTTTGATGAATTAATATCACGTTTAAAAGAAATTATTTTTCTGCGAAACATGAGTATAAAAGACAAGTTTGGTAGTATTATTAAATGTTGTATTGAGTGGTTGGTACTGGTAGTAGTAGATAATATGTCTGAGTGGCCCGTTTTGAATAAAGTATTAGAGTTTTTTTTAAGATTTAGCAATGGATCCTAAAGTTAAATTAATTAAGTTAAAAATATTACAGTGGAACGCCCAAAGTTTAAGACCTAAAATTACGGTATTGGAGAATTTTTTAGTGATAGAAAAAATTCATATTTGTCTTATCTCTGAGACCTGGCTTCAACCAGACAGTAATTTTAAAATAAGTGGTTATGATATCTATAGACAGGATCGGGATGACTCATATGGTGGTATAGCTATTGTGATACATAAATCTATAAAAACTCAGGTAAGCATGTTCAACTTAAGTAATCGGAGTATTCAGGTACGGCATGTAAAAATATTTAATTGTGATTTTTTGGAGAATATTGTAGCAGTATATTGTCCTCCTAATATTTATACTTCAGTTGAAGACTGGATAGCATTATTTTCTAAATGGTCAAATAAAACACTCATAGGGGGGGATTTCAACGGGCACCATACAAATTGGTCAAACAAAAATAATCACAGAGGCATTCAAATCCATGACGCAGCTAATGATTGGAATTATGTTTCCCTCAATACTGGCGACCCCTCTAGAATTAAGTTGGTATTAAATCAATGGCAAAAATCCTCCCCAGACATCACTTTTGCGTCGTCAGATATTGCAATTCGATTTAATTGGAAAATTTTAAATGAAAATTTAGGTAGTGACCACTTGATAATACTTATTGACACAGAGATATCATGTAATAACTTAAGTAACACCAAACGAAATTTAAAAAAAGGGAATTGGTGTAAATTTACTCAAATAATTTCAAATCAAATAAATAATATTACTTTAACAAATGACACTCAAGAAATGTATGACGTGATAATAGATTTAATTAACAGTGCAGCTGATAAATCCATTCCAAACATTAAGATCTGTGAAAATCCAGCTAGTAAATTTATTCCAAGATCGTACTGGTCCCCAGAGTTATCTAAGGCAGTTTCGGAACGTAGATTAGCGTTAACTCTGGTAAGGAAGAACCCCACTCCCACAAACTTTATTAATTTTAAACAAAAAGTTGCGAAAGCTCAGAGACTTATTCGTAAAGCTAGGGCGGAATCCTTTCGGCAGTTTTGTGATAGCATTAGTGAATTGGTATCAGGTAGTGAATTGTGGAGCAAGATGCGATGGCTCAAGGGACATCGTAGTAGCCGAACATGCCTAGATGCAGAGCGGGCTCGTGAATTTTTAACTCAATTGACGCCAGATTACGCTCTACCACTACCTCCTGTGTTCAGTTCTAACAATGCACAGCTAGAGGCCACAATTTCAGAACAAGAGCTCACTAATACCCTTAAGATGAAGGATACCGCCCCAGGTGAAGACGATATTTCTTACTCAATGATCTTTAACTTTCCGGGCAAACAGTTGATCGTTGATCTATTTAATAATTGCCTGTCTAAAGGGGAGATACCAAGTCAATGGAGGGACGTAAAGGTAATACCTGTACCGAAACCTGGACGAGATTTAAGCGAGTTATCATCTTTTAGACCTATTTCACTTATATCATGTCTGTGCAAAGCATTACATAACATAGTTTACAAAGCGTCTTGAATGGTACTTCGAAAGTAATAATCTGTTTTCCAAAAACACAATAGGTTTCAGAAGATCCCAATCTAGCCTAGACAATCTCGTACGACTAGTATTACATATACAATCGGGGTTCACAATAGGACACAATACATTAGGATGTTTCGTTGATATAGACAACGCCTACAATAATGTTAATATCTCTCAAGTTGTTTCTAAACTGGATGGAATGGGGGTAGGTTCATCTATATGTAGATATTTATGGGAATATTTGAAGGAGAGACATTTACATATATCACAGGCAGGTAGTAGTGTTCCGATCACGAGATGGACATGCAAGGGTTTGGCCCAGGGAGACCCTATGTCCCCGATTTTATTTAATATAGTTACTAGCGACATCTGTAAAGAGATTGTAAAAGTTTATGTATCGCAATACGCTGATGACTATGTCCTATATATTTCTGGAAATGATACAAAATTTATGACCACAACACTACAAGAAGCTATCGATCGGTTTTCCAATTTACTGGAAGAATTGGGTCTCGAACTTTCACCTATGAAAAGCAAAGTATGTTTATTTTCTAGAGGGCGGACGTTGCAACAGTCAAATATAACTATTAATAATATTAATTTGGAAATGGTACCTGTAGTTAAATATTTGGGACTCTGGCTGGATTCGTCTTTGAGATGGGGCAAACAAATCAATGAAACGTGCGAGAGAGGTACGAAATTTTTAAATATTTTTAAAATCTTAGCTGGGTCGGCTTGGGGTGTTCATCCAATACATTTAAGAAGGTTATATATTGCAATTATCCGCAGCAGGTTAGATTACGCAAGCTTTTTAGTTGACAATAGCGCTAAAAATAATATTACGAAATTAGACAAACTCCAAAATCAAGCTATGAGAATAGTTGGCGGTTTTTTGAAGAGTTGCCCAATCCATGTGATGGAATCGGAGTTATGTCTTCCTCCGTTATCTGTTCGTCGAAAATATTTAGCTGCGAAATTTTATTTAAAAGCGAAATCGGTTATTGATGGTGAAACCGTCTTATCCATATCTAAATTAACACAAGCATGTGAACAGACATCATATTGGAGCAATAAGAAAAAACCGTTACTAACTATAGTACATAGTGAGTTATGTAATCAACCGATATATGGTGCTAAAATCCTGGAAATGTTCTCACTGTCGACTTGGGTGACAAACATAGATATTAAATCGCATATCAACTTAAACATTAATGAAATAATAGGGCCTAAGAGATTTTATACTTCTTTAACACTTCGGGAAAAATGTATACAAAGCCTTGCACAACATTATAACGGATTCTATCAGATTTATAGCGATGGGTCTAAAGAAGACAAAGGCACAGGAGCAGCGTTTTACGATCCTCAAGCTGACACAAAAGCCAGTTTCTCGTTGAATTGCAAAGTATCAATAATGGCGGCGGAATTATATGCAATTTCGGAAGGTCTGTCGTATGTGATGTCGTGTAATTATGACAAATGTGTAATACTGTGTGACTCCAAGAGCGCTTTGCAACATCTAGTTCGATGTACCACAGGGAAACGAGGTCTACCAGTGGCTTATTCTATTTTGAATATGTATTGGGTACTGAGAGGTAATGGCAAAATAATTAAACTTCAGTGGATTCCATCGCATGTAGGTCTGATGGGAAACGAACAAGTTGATCAATTAGCAAGAATAGGCATCTATGAAGGCATGTGTGTGAACCAGTTACCCTTTTTTACAGATATATTACCAGATGTTAAAATAAGATGCAAAAGTCTGTGGAAAGAACATTTTAACAAAAGATCTGTAGAGAAGGGTATATGGTACAAGACAATCCAGTCCGAACCACCCAGCATTCCTTGGTTTGCAGAAGTTCCTTTTAGTAGGAAAATACTAGTAACGAGCATGCGTCTTCGTTCCGGGCACATTCCGCTGAATGCATTCGGATATCTTATGAAAGTGGTTGATACCCCAAACTGTCTGATCTGTGGTATCAGAGAGGATATATACCACGCTTTAGTGGAGTGTGCCCGGATCGGGGCAGAACGCAGGGCGTTGGAAGTAAAAGGAGGGTTTAGATTGAGCGAGGTGGGCTTATGTAACTTGATTTTATCGAAGCCTACATCTGATATAGCTGTTGATTTATATTATTTATTTAGCAAATTAATTAAGTTAAGATCTCTTTAATTGTTTTGTTTATATGTAATTGTAAATCTACAAGGCTGACATAATCGTTTAACGATTAAAGCCTATATTATATTATATATTATAAAGATTATAAAAAAAAAAAAAAGATTATTTAGACACCATTGAAAAACGGTGAAGGAAAAACATCGTGAGGAAACCTGAGCTTATAATTTCTAATTATCAGTTTGAAATCGCCAACCCGCATTGAGCAAGCGTGGTGATTAATGCTCTAACCTTCTCCGTGTGAGAAGAGGCTTTGCTCAGCAGTGGGCATTTTTAGGCTGTTGATGATGACGATGATACAAACCAAAAGGTAGTACTTATTCCTTAATGTCTCCTCTTCCAGATGTCCTAATGAGTGCAGTGGGAGCCATAGCCTGGATAGCAGTGTTCGCGATCTGGATCACAGTGTTCCAGTTACAGAGGGTATCGTGGGGCGCTACGGGAGATGCGCTCTCGTTCATAGTGCCGCTCGGACGTGCCTAGCGTGTGTTGAAGCTACAGTGAAGTGCAGTTATAGTGTAAAATGACATTATGTGGAGTTGTCATGGAATGGACTAATCGATTATAATAGTATGTACAGTGTAACCATTTGACCTTTGACCACCATATCGATAAGTATACAGAGGCCTTATTACGAGTTTGTTTTACGTTTTAAATAATCGTAACGAGTATGCTTTCGGCGCTCTGAGGGCCAAGCACGAATAACTATCGCAATATCGCATTCGTATCGTAACAGTATCGAGCGAGTTAAGCGTTCTGATTGGTTGATTCACTTGAGCCGGCCAATCAGCGCCGAACGCGCTTGATACTATTACGTTATGGATGCGATAGTTATTCGTGCTTGGCATTCTGATTGGTTGGTTCATTTGCGCCGGCCAATCAGAGTGCCGAACGCGTACTCGCTACGAATACTTTCAACGTAAATGAAACTCGTACTAAGGCCTCAGAGTGTAAACGGAACCCAAACAACGCTGACAGGTGATGGTCAATGCTTTTGAGTTTTATTTTATAAAAGTAAGGAATATCAATAAGCATGACCGCTATATCAATAAGCATGTTTGTTTGTATTGTTTTGGAAACAAATCAAACAAAAAGTTGGTTAAAATTATGCGGGGGAACAAATTATTCTATTTTTAACCTTCTACAAAAAATAGAGGAGGGTCACAATTCGACTGTATATATGCTTTTTTGTTTGTTCGGCGATATCTCCGTTATTTATGAACCGATTTTGAAAATTCTTTTTTGTTTTAAAAAAGTAACTAAAAGTGAGTGGCAGTCAAAAGGTCGACTTAGGGTCGATTTGTAAATCATCAGTTAATTCCTGTAGAATAAAATTGTCAGTTTTCAGAATGGAAGTATTGGCAAATGTTCAAAGTTATTCTTCTGATAAAATTTATCTGACTTTGGAACATCGGCCCTTAATCTGTAGATAGACGAATCAAATAAGGATCGCACAGTTATGTAACCTTATATAAACAATACATCAAATGTGACTTGTATTCAGCATTCAGATTCATTATATTTATTACTAGCTACCTGCCCCGGCTTCGCACGGATGCAATATGCATGTATACAATATAAACCTTCCTTAAGAATCACTCTATCTATTAAAAAAAACCGCATCAAAATCCGTTGCGTAGTTTTAAAGATCTAAGCATACATAGGGACAGCCAGACGGCGGATAGCGACTTTGTTTTATACTATGTAGTGATTTAAACTGTCAAACACCAAGCGGTCACCGGTGACCGCAACCTATTGTTCTATAATTGTGTCTACAAAACCGGTACTCGATGAGTTAATAGACTGTCATGTCAAATTATCTACTTATAGTTATTATGAAATAAAGTTGTAGTTGGTCTGTATGTATGTGCTAAACTCAAAAAATGCTAAACAAATTTTCAAATTATCTTAGATATAGTAATCAAGCCAGCCAGCACTGCAAGAGTGAGATAGTAAGATATCAATGTTCCAAGTTAAACAAGGATGCCTGATTTCACACTACTAGATGACTGAGGGTAGATGAATTATTTTTTATTTTAATGTCCGTCTGGTAGATCATTTTAAATCATTAGACACGAATTTTTTAAATTCTTACAGAAACGAATACTTTCGACGATATATTGATTTGAAATGTCGCGTGACGTCACTTCTATGTGCATTTTATACGTAGAAATGACGTTTTAGCCCCCACTCCTAAACTTTGATTCATTTTATCTAAGTATAGTTTTATTATACGACAAAATAAAAAATGCGTGTCTAATATTTTTTCATTATACCTAACTGACGGACTTATTAGATTTTTAATTTTGATACCCTGTCATCATTCCAATTGGGGACAACTTTAAGTGGCTTCAAAATGCATTTTTCCAGTTGTATCTCAACTGGAGGAACCCTAATTCCTCTTACCCATCTTTAATTTGACCTTGGTTAGCGTAGCTTAACTTTTGTGTATTTGAGAGGCTGTATGTACTAAGTGTTCATAGCTATATGATAGTGAAGCGAACGTTAATAGGCTTTTTATACTTCAAATGCAATGAATTTAGGAACAAATATTTTTTATACTAAAACCAATTGTCTATCAAAGAAAAATGTACTTTATTTTCTTGTGTTTCAGCTGCTTTTTGAATGGCGATATTATTAAGCAACAATGATGAATGAAATTGTACTTTATTCCTTGTGTTTAATGTTCATAATAGCTTGATGGATGGTGTTAACTTTTATATTTTAATAGCTAATGAATAAGTTAAAACATAATTTGTTAATTATTAATATTGAAATAAAATAAAGACAAACATTGAAATTGTCATAATTGTATATTTATTTAATAATATAAACCAACATGATAGTTTTGTACAATTATATACATAATTATAGATTATACATTTATAATTATAAATGCTAAAACGTAACATCACGCTTTTTAACCACAATGGCGTAGACAGAGGAGGTTACGAAACAAAATACCTCTTGCTGCTAACTCCCATTTTTGGGGCGAACTCATTGGCACAGAAACACACAAAATACATAGTCTGCCTGACCCGGAAATCAAACCTAAGATAAACGAGTCATAAATAAGTATATAAAAAGTTGTCAATGTATGAATGTATGGAATGACTAATAATACTACTTAATACATACATAAAAGAGCATAATAAGTCGTTTGGTGACGTACACCACCCTTACTCTTCCCGCGGGTAGCATATACCCGACTAAGACACTACACATTAGACAGAGACCGTGCAGCAGCGCTCTCTGATACACCTGAACCTTTTATACTGCGATCTCCAACCCGCCTGCCTGCGGAGATTATGACAAACCCCTCTTATGTAGAGGAGGCTCATAGTGCAGTGACAATCACTCTTGCAAGCAATCCACCTTCCATTACAGGTTGGCAAAAAAGAGTTTGGCATAATTGAGGTCGCTAGTATCGTACCTGTACCTGTACACTACGACTCAATACAACTTCGATTCATAGGTCGAGCAAAGTACTGATGGTGTTTTTAAAACAATCTCAGTAGTAGCACAGAGTCTGGAATTGTGCCCGGTATATAATAGGCAATAGGCTCACCCTCTATTACATGGGACTCATAACATAAATAGTGAAAAGTGGGTGTTACATTGTACAGTGGCATTAAGTGCCGTAATGTGCACCTCTTACCCCTTCGGGGATAAAAGGCGTGATAATATTTATTTAAAAAGAGGAGGTACTATATTCGGTTGATTGTTTATTCATAGGACTATAGTCCGGAGTGGGTGATTCAGTCTAAGTCAATATAAGTTCCATCTGTAAACGCTTTTTTGCCAAACTGTAAGGTAAAATTTATTCATTGGATTGTCGACTTAATGTGAATACAATAAAGTTGAAGATGCAATAGAAACATTTGACAGAACAGTGCCTTTAGCCAAACGCCACTTTAGCGCTTGTCTACAGAGAGAGTAGAAAACTAAATGTATGGAGATGACACTGACAGGTGTCAAAATTTACGTCAATTCCATATAATTTGGTTTTCTACTCTACAAGTAGACAAGCGCTAAATGGTATTTGACTACAGCTGCTGTATAGACGGACCAGTTGCCCACCGTATCATCTGATGGTAATGGTACACAAGCTACACATCGAGCTTTACATAACCAGTATAAACTGAACGTTAAATGTGCGGAAAGATGATGCGACGCGACACCAGGATAAACTGGTTTTGTACAGATTGATGTATACGCAATAAACGCCGTCCAAAGCTTGCTATGATCTTTTATGTATAAAACTAAATATTAAATGATTTGTAGTGATGGCAGTGTCGATTACCAATGATTACACATTTATGAAAACACACAGGGTGTAAAAGAAACGCTGAAAAACGCCGACAGGTGGCGGTAAAAACTAGTTCTATTTTCACAAGAATAAGGAATTAAATGGTTCTATTATGCCATAGTGAAGCAACACTTGCGTTGTGTTTCGCCATGTGAGTGACGTTACCGGAGGCCCAATTATTTCCCCAATCCCTGAATGCCCAACAACACTCAAATTCCTAATCCCCAAAAGGCCAGTAACGCACTTGTATAACGCACTTGTAACGCCTCTGATGTTCCAGGTGTCCATGGGCGACGGCGATTGCTTACCATCAGGTGATCCGTCTGCGCGTTTACCGGCTTATACCATAAAAATTGCTTGTAAAATACATAATTATTAATATCAAACAAGTATTCATTATTTACTAACACAAACTTCAAGATTTACTTTTGTTTTGTGTCAAAATTATATATTACATAGTTGCTACATGTGGCTTCGCCCGAGATGTCAAAGGATAAAAGTATTCTATGTCACTGTCCTGCAAACACAAAGGACTCCATTGAAATGTTACATGAGCTTTGTATTTAAGTGACTCCTAAGTACAAGTAAGTTTAGATGCTCCCTTAGTAACGCTTAGGTAGGAGCTGATTGGTGAAAACGACTACAAGTTTCTTCTTTAACGCCACAAAATAATGCTAAAAATCTATAACAGAAATTTGACAGACAGGACCAAACTCCACAGTGGCGCCATCTAGCAAGCGCAAAAACTGTACTTTTTATGACAAATGTGTATTCAAATATTTTTGTATAACAATACTATTGTAGTTATTAGACAATTATCTACATACATGATTTTAATATCTATTACTAACTACGGTTTCACTCTCTGCTCGACTCCTCGATCACAACGTGATATTTTATAGCCTGTAACATTCCTCGATAAATGGACTATTCGACACAAAAAAAAAACATTTAATTCGGGCCAGTAGTTCCTGAGATTAGCGCATTCAAACAATGAAACTCTTCAGCGTTATATGATAAAAAAAATTATAGATAGAATTTGTTGATAGATAGAGAAAAAATATGGAGTTTCTTGCTCGATCTTCTCCATAGGACCCTACACCTTGGAATGAGCAAATAGCTTCACTTTTACTTTTTTGTTGACGTTCGAAACTGCCTGATTGGTCTAATTTAAATAAACGATTTTGACTTTATCAGATACTCATGTTTAAGTTGATCAATTTGAACTTGGTTTTCGTCAACTGTGTAGATAAAGAGATCAATATTAAGACAACTAGCTTCTACCAGCGGTTTTGCCCGTGTACCCGTGGGTTAAAAGCCTATGTGTTATTCCAGACCATAATCTACCCCTGTTACAAATTTAATCCCGATCTCTTCAGCTGTTTAGACGTATTTGAGACAGACAAACTTACAAAAATTCCATTCATAATATGATAAGTAAGTCAACTATTTGGTACTAACATCAACAAAATTTGCCTACAAATTATAAATATATTCAAAAAAAAAAACTACATATTAAAGATGTACTGTCATAATGTGTAATTTAAAATTTACTAATTAGTTACTCACTAGATGGCGCGCATGTAGCAAGATTTTTCTGTCCAATCACAGCTGCTGTCAAATATTGAACGTGGAATGGTGTGACCATCGACATATACTAATGGACATGTCTCTTTTTTTTTAATGGGTGAGGCGGGAGGGAGTGTCAGACTCTTACTGACTAAAAACCACCCCGTTCCTTCTCCTGCACGTCGAGCCGGAGCCCCGGTTACCCGTTAGGTTCTCCGCGACTCCGAATCGGCAATGGACATGCCTTAGAGATGAGAATTGTGGCACTCCGAAAGAAAGAGAGGTTATCTCTCTTAAAATAGTACCGTGGTTAAGACGTTATGAGCGAGAAAGAGGTAGCGCTAGACCGAAAGCATAGGTCATCTCTCTCACCCTTTTCAAACCAAAAAAAATACTGCAGATTATACGCGTACGGCATGCCCATTAGTATATATATAGATGGGTGTGACACTAGTTAGCTAATTCCCTGTTAGACAAAGAGCGAGAGGTTCTCACTAGCGCCACCTGGTAAGTAAAAATATAGTAGCCCTATTTTATTTCTATAGAAAGTGACACGGTACCTGCGTCTACTGCGCGGTGACTGTGCGTACACTGCGCTGATATCGTACGCTTACTGTATGGATTTTAACAATTTGTCCTAATCATAGAATAATTACAATTAACACAGTAACTGTGCGTTTACTGCGCGGTTACGGTGCGTATACTGTGCGTTCACTCGACGCGGACTCGCGGCGGCGATGCCATACGTCTCTCTTGTTTTATCTTTAACATCTCCGTGTATGCTATCCTGTGGGTTCAAAAAAGAAAATATATTAGACATTTTTTATAAAAATTAGGTCAATGCGCAAAGTTTGCGCAACGGTTTGATAGTGGCGATATTTGCGCATCAATTTCTTTAAAACATTGTGACTCCAATCCCTTGATCTAACAAAGTAACTGTTAAGTGTTTCTTGATTTTTCAAAATTTTCATAATTTCCAAATAATTTGCAGTATCCTTCCTACATCAACAATCTTAGTATTTGCGTGCGTGTCTGTCAAGTAGGTAAATGCTTTTCTTTCCTTCCTCTTTCTAGTCAAATTATATTATTAAATATTTAAAGCAGGGACTGAATAACCGAAAAATTACGATACCTTTAAATTGCGGTATGACGTCATACCGTTAAATAACGGTTACCGCTTAATTTCGGTATCGAAATTTAATTTCGGTACCGTTATTTTTGGGTATGAAATGAAAACCGGTATATTTCGGTACCAGTATCCTAACCTGAATAATAAAGGTATGAGAGAGATATTGACCGCGCTAGTTCATCTATCCTATTTCATCGCATTGCATTAGTTTGGCTTGTTCTCTGGACACAATCACATGCGGCTCGCGTTATATTTTATGGTGTGCTGAGTTGAATTGATATAACAATTATTAACAATGCCAAATAACGCACGAAAACTTATAATAACAGAAATAAGTAAGTATATGTACTTATTACTACTTATGTAATCTGATAATAACATACTTCTAGTTGACACGTAACGAGTAGATACTAAGTACTAGTATCTTACCTACTCGTTGTCGACGCGTACGGTACGCGGCGGCGATGTAACGCCAGTAGACACGCTCACACACAGACGCTGCGTGCGTAGGTACTATTTTATTACACTTTTTATGTTATTACACTATAGCTCATTACTATAGTTTATTATAACGTAGTGTGTTATAATATTTTTTTTACCTTATAGGTATATATTTTCACGACATTTTTGTCAAAAATTGGTTAAATGCCTAAAGTTTTTTTATTTCTACCGCGTCGGGCGCAGATTTCCAGAATTCTTGTTTTGATTTAAAGGGTATACTCCCGAGATGGTCCTTTTCATTGAGGTCAGGATCTGATAATAGAAGCCTAGGAAAACCGAGGAGAACTTTCGAAAATTGTAGGGGCGTGTAATATGTGTATTGTTATTCAATTAGGATTTTTAAACTCTACCCCAGGAGGGTACCAGCTCCGCTGGAGAATCCCTCCCTGAGCATGATTGCTCAGGCAGCCCCGTCGTATCTTGGCAAATTCCCAACGGCGACGTGCTCTGCCACACGTCACGTTTTGTCTCCCCGTGAGTAGGCAGAAAGCGGGCTGAGGATTGCCTTTTTGCTACACTGAATGTGTGTGGAGGCGTAGAAGGCAAGATGTTAGAAATATGTGAGATGATGAATACAAGAAAGATTGATTTGTTAGGGATGAGCGAGACGAAAAGAAAGGGTTGTATGACTACCACACATGGCCAATATATTGCTTACTGGTCTGGTGTTGCAAGTTCCCAGAGAGGCAGCCAGGGCGTGGGGGTCATACTATCTGAAAGGATGAATGAATGTGTGAAAGAGTATAAATGTGTGAGTCCCAGGATACTTTAGATCCGCCTTAAAATTGGCTTGACCAAATTATTTGTCGTCTGTGCTTATGCCCCGGACATCTCAAAGCCAATTGGGGTGAGGGAAGTATTCTGGGATAACTTGAGAGATGTTCTTAATGAATGTAAAGAGAATGAAAGAATAATTATGCTTGGAGATTTTAATGGATGGGTTGGAGTGGCACGCGATGGGTACGATAGAGTATTAGGGCGATTTGGAGACGAACGAGTGAACGAGAATGGTGTATGTCTTCTGGATATATGTGTAGAAAAGGAACTTTTTGTGACCAACACAACATTTGGTCACAAGAAGATACATATGTATACATGGCAGAGGCATACAGAAAGAAGTACGATTGATTTTGTGATTGTTGATGAACGCCTGAGGACAAAACTGAAGGATACAAGGGTTTACCGTGGCACGAATGTCGGAAGCGACCACTTCCTAGTAATTACTAGAATAGCTGGACTGGCAATGAAGTGGAGACATCGGCCACGGGTAAGGTTGCTTGGAACCGAGAGAGTGAGAGTTGAACGGTTGAGAGAAGAGGCAGCTAGGGACCAGTACAGGAAACTATTAAATGAAAGGTTTAGGGAGCTAATGAAAGGTTACGAAAGGAATATAGAAGAATTTTGGAAGGAATTTAAGGATGGAGTGATCGCAGTAGCTACTCAAGTATGTGGGGTAAGCAAGAAAAATAACACTGGAAGCAAGAGGAATGAATGGTGGGATGATGAAGTAAAAGAGGTGATAGAGCAAAAGAAGAAAGCATGGCTCGACTTATTAGCCTCAAAGGCAAATAGAAGAGTGCTAGAAAGTATGATAGAAAAGTACATTAGTCTCAAAAAGAGAGCAAAAGCGGTAGTTAACAAGAAGAAAAATGAATGCAAGGAAAAGTTTGAAAGGAATTTTTCGCGGAACTTTCGAGCCAACGCTAAACTATTCTGGCATTTAGTTAGAAAGGCCAGAGGCAAAGTGGGGGACTCGAAAGTAAGTACGATAAGGGATATAAATGAGTGTCATTGAAGAAAGTAAGGATGTTTTAAAGCAGTGGAAGGAATACTTCGAGAATTTATTTGAAAGGAGTGATTTGAAAGAAGAGGAAGTAAACGATGAAAATGAAAGTGCTAATGTGGGAGAAATAAATATGGATGAAATTGTGAGTGCCATTAAGAGTTTGAAAGTAGGTAAAGCAGCGGGATGTGATAGGATAACTACTGAAATGCTAACAGAGGGTGGAGGTGTAATTGCAAGCCTG